TGGATCCAGCTAGCATACACAGTATCTCCTAGAAGTGTTGCTGTTACAAAAATACAATTATTTCTCATAACCTTTATTTCTCATAACCTATCAGTAAAAACAGCCTCCTTTATAGTGTAAGACTAGGAAGTATGCAACGCCACACCAGGGGTTTTTTTTGGGGGGGGTTGGGGTTGGATAATACTTACTATCTTCTCCTTGCCTTACAGGGCCAGTAGCCGAACTTCTTTACTTGAAAAATTAGTAAACAACAGTATCAAAGCTACTAATAGTGAAAGGAAGAATCAGAACTACCAGAGAGGGAAGCTGTCAGAAATAGGATGCTTAAGGGAGAGAATCCTTGGTCTGATCCAATAGGGCTCTCTTGGGATTTTGATTTTACTATTTTTGTTAGTAATATCATTTACTGTATTCACCACTTTATACAAAAAATGCCCCCAAACAACTTAACAAGGTAAATTGCAAATAGGTAAAGAACAATCAAAACAGGAAAGGAAAGGACAATGTCAGGAATAATATCTGTGTTTAGGAGCAAGAGAGCCCAAACTCCTTTCTTCACATTCCAACCTGCCTCGGATGACCTGCCTTTCTCTAACCAGGTTAGCTCATTGCCTTATGTCTTACAGTCTTAAGTACTGTGTGTTAGCATGGTAAGCAGAATCACAATGAAACTCTGGTGTATGTCAAAGACCATTCGTGTTACAAGATCACAACCTCCTGCTGCAGGCAGTCTTAAGTTCCGTGTTTTATCGCATCCTCAGCATGATTAACAGAAGGATGGAGAAGAGAATCAGTCTAAGAAAATGAGTGTTTTAATCAGGAAACTGAAACAAGGAATAAGAAATTGATTACAGGAGAGCTAACATCCCAGCCAAATTAACATGACTGTACAACTCAGAACCACCATGGTTGGAACATCCTACAAAGCCTGATGACAAAAACTCTTTGGGGCCACAGTCCAAGCAGCAAAGAAACTGCAGTAGCCAGCTCAATACTGTTCTGGGGCCTTTTGCCCATCCAAACATGTAGGCAGTGCTGGCTGACGGAGCTCTTTCCGCTTCAGCCTGAGCTCCTCTGGGTAGTTGCTGCAGGCGGAATGGTGACGGAGGAGCCCAGGATGCGCAAAAAGAAAACTCTTGCCTCTCCTGGCCCTATGATGAATGAAATTTTTAGAACCTTATAGAAAGTAGTATACATATTTATAAATGCTAAAATAAATATTATAAAGGACAGGCTCCACCCTACGCCCTTAACATGCAGGCACGCAGGCGCACGCACACACACACACCCTCATTTAGAAAACTGCACAGGAAGGGGGCTGAAAGCATTGGCCAAGTATCAGCCAGCCAGACAACTCTCCTTCTCCCCCCCCCCAACCCCCGCAACTCTCACACAGAAAACACTCTCATACACACCCACGTACTTCCTTGCACTTGCAAAACTACTTTCTTGACTCCACCTGCTGGGGAGAAGAGAACAAGGGAAGTGGAGCACAGTCACTGTTGCACGAAGAGGAATGCCTTGGTATAAATACATCAAATCAGTGGTTTCCAACAGCTAAAAAAAAAAAAAGATCCGGTATGGAAGGGTGCCACGAACAGAACTCTAGCTAAAAGAAGCCACCCCCAAGCCGTCATGGTGAAAAGGTGGTCATTTCCAAAGAGACCCTTTGCCACAAATCCTTAGTCTGCTTGCTGCGCTTCAGGTTCTGAAGGATGTCATTGAATTGCATCATGCCCATAGGGGTCAGGCAAAAGGCGCTTCTGGCGCTGCGAATGGCATTCACAAAGTCATCGTAGTCTGCCGGAGTGAGGTGGATCAGCCGGTGGTGGATGTACTTTAGGGGACACAAGGGGGAAATGATGTTCAGATACAGCCTCCAAGGCAATAATGCATTTTCCATGTTCTACCTGATCACACTCTTCCCCTTTTGCTGCTGTGGTGGCAGAAACGCTTTACATAATAGGTAGGTTGTGGAGGAAGGGAGAGGCTGCCCAAGATCCCTCAACAACGTTGACTCAAGAGTCAAGGTTCAGCTTTTAAGCTCTGCCCTACACTGGCTCTTATTTATTCTCCCAAAGGAGGGGTGACAAGCAGACTTTGAGGCCCAGGATCAAGCAATACTGTAATAAAGACTTAATTCAACACATACACTAAATGAGAAATGAAGAATCTCATTCTGCCAGCCTTTAAGGGGCATTAGGAGGTTATTCACCTACTATTGACCTTCAAGTGCTTTGACTTAACAGCCTTCGCGTTACCCAGGCAGGTATTTAGATGATGGTGTGGCTATGCTTTCTGGAGCAGCAAGGAGCACCTAGGTGAAGCAAGCTTGACCCAATGGAAAGGAAGGGGCATACGTACCTGTATGTATGCCTGCTGGCACCTCTGTACCAACTGGTGGAAGGCTGGTGTGCGCAGGTGATTGTGGACATGGGCAGGATTGAGCCTCTGCAGGGATTCCATGATGATCTCTTGCAACACAAAAGGGCTCAGGACCCCCTTGGCTGCACCAAGACAGAATTGATGCACATAGTTGACACCTGCAGAAAAACAAAGGTGGATGCAGTGGAGTAGGAAGAACAGGCAAAGCATACTGAAAACCCAAGAGGACAACTACTTGTCCTCCTCAGCAAAGGGCAGAGCACAGCATCTACAAATTAGCTGCAATGAGCCAGAGCACACATCAGACAAGGGAGAATCTGCCACCCTTACTTACTCTTCACTTACCAGCAATTAAAACAAAGTATTGAGCAATCTAGCTAATATAAGAGTAATCCACAAACACTGCTTTTCTTTTTATAAAACTTTAGCAAATTTCTAAATTACACTTGGACTAATGCATGGGCCTTATCCACATGCCCAAAGGTGGGTTTTTTTGTTTTTGTTTTGTTTTTTGCTTCCCCACCCCCTATGTATTTTTATGTTCTACTGCTCCTCCAGGTCTCTCACTCTGATATCATGATGCCAAGAGTTGTTTTGTTTTCTTTAAAAAAAACACCCCAGTCCGGCAATTTTTCTATTTTTAAAATAGAATTATTTGTAGTTCCTGAAGTTACCTGCTGTGATGCCAGAATGTTTTTATGGCCCATCAAAGATCCCCCAATTATTTTTTTTAAGGGGTGATTACTTGTAGCCACTTTTATGGGGTTCCCATACCATAGGCCACACCTACTATGGTATGGGACCCCCATACAGCTGACCATGGGTCAATGCAGTCCTTGGACCAAAAAAGGTTAGCCATCCCTGCAGTGCCTAAAAAAACCCCTTTAAGCTGTTCAGTTTTTGTGTCATTTACATCTCCACGCGATAGTCTTCTGTTATGGATCAGAAGCTACAATATTTACTGTGGTCTCTCTTTGCGAATTAATTTTATTTTCCACATTTTATCCAGTTCTAGAATCAATGCCACATACACGAAAAGCAGAAGAGCTTGGCAGAAAATGTTGCCTTGGGACTAAATGAACATTTACTCTGCCTTGGGCCTTACCTAATTTGGCAGCTAATCCCAGGAGCCATTTCACATCTTCTGTGTAGGGTGGGCTGCGTGAGAAGTTGTTGGGGTGGTCATTGTGAGCTCTGCGGCCAAGCATCTCCAGTGCTAACATTCCTGCAGGGAAGTGCAAATTCAAAATTTCAGACAACCAAGTTAAGCCCCACAAGACTTAAGAGGGGCAGTGCCCACCCATTCGCGACCATTTCATAGAAATGAGCTAGGAGATGGCAATTATGCCAAATGGCGTCTCTGCTTATCTCTGCAAGGTGGTAAAAAGGTTGAAATATTTGCAATCCCTGTGGATTTGGGAGAAGACGAAGCGACAGCTTGCAGAACGATCTGGAGCTGAGAAGTAGCAGGTGGGGGAAGCATAAATGTACATCTTCCTCTGCTCTTTCAAAAGCAGCTTAAAAAAACAAACAAATAGAAAGCCAGCAGGACTTTTTATTTTCATTTTTCATTTTGTTTAAACACAGACATCAACATTCACCATTCAGTTATGCCCTCAGTTCCTATGCAAAACAACACTCTCTGAACAGGTCTGTGTTAGGCTTCCCCCTCTGCTCCTGTACTCTTTCATATCTGTGACAAAGCCAAAACAGGGAGACAATATTTCCAAGGGGACTCCAGTGACACAAACCCCTCCTCTACATCATTCTGTCATAGAATGGATAAGGACACCAACCACAATATGGAGAGCAACTCAGGACAGTCCGGATTCTCCTTATATAAGTTTTTCAAAATGCCCAGGTTTCCACTGGCAATCAATTTCAACTGGGAATCCAACTGCAAGTAAATACAAACCTAGGCCAGAGTAGTATAGGGATACACTGTGACCAGGGCAAGCCAGACCATTTCAGGCCGACCCCAAATTCTGGACATCTTACAAGCCCACCTCCCTGGGGGATACTTCCTAGACTAGTACATTTTACCACAGTGTTAAATGGTAAAGGATAACAACTTGCTCCATCCCAGATATATCTTATGCCCCAAGGATTTGGATGTCAGCCCAAAGCCAGGACTGGAAGACATGCCTTCAGCTTCCCTTCAAAGCAAAAGGCAGAGAGCAACACGCTCTACCCCAGCTGGACTCCCTTTCAAATTCCCAATTTAGGAGATTATGTGCTAGAGATAGAAAGCAAACTGTGCACTGCTTGTGAGCCTTGACAAGCGGAGGCTTTGAACGGCATTGAGGGAACACATGATGGATCTTCACCCCTGCTCCCTTTCCATTTCGTTGTGTGTCTCCTTCTTCACACCCCAAGAACCCTACAGGTGTCTGTATAGTCTACTTAGGAGGGAAACTTGGTTAAGGTTGAAGAATAATCAAGATAGCCCAGAAGGCTGTGTTAACATAGTAAAATTAAGAAATAAGTGACCGAGTCCCCCAATTAACATTCTTTGTTCCATATATATATATATGCAGTGATCAATTGCTTTTCCTGTAATTACTATGATTTTATTAGACTGCAGTAGGCGGAGATGAAAAAGGAAGTATCGTTGGTTGGTTCATTTGTGTTTAAACTTTTATTTTTGCAAAAAGAGACAGCTTTACAAAAATCACTGAAACATGCAAACTCTTCGCATCCATTCACCTTCTAGTAGCCACTAGGAACTTTATTCCTCCTCCAATCCCCATTTTATATGACAGTGTACATTTTATTTTGTTCAGTGTCCCAAAATAACACCACATAGGCTGTTTTGGATCTCCACCCTCAGAACACAGTTGGAATTATGTTACATCCATTCTATAGGCATTCCAAAAGGGGCCAACTTTGATTTCTAGGAATCTGCAAGATAATCCATTTTGTAATCAATCCAGGACATTACAGTTAAACACCACTATCAGCCCTGAAAACCAAAGTTCTCAATAGCCCTGCAACACCAGCAGGGTGTGAACCATTCAATATGACCAAGTCACTCATAACCAATGCAGTCAAGGATGGGCATCTGGTATCAAGACCTTAGAGACTGGAGGGCTCATCACAAAGCAGAGGTTAAGGGGAGTTCCATCTCCCTCCTTGGAACAGTAATAAAGGCTTATCTTACACATGTCTTCTGCTCAAAACAGGTCATATTGAACAAGGTGGCTCACACGGTTGAGTCTTACAAGCCTGTCATTTCTAGCCCAGTTACCTCACACCATGTCATTTCTAGCCCAGTTACCTCACACCATGACCATGGGCTTTGCTCCATTGACACCTGCAATAGTTTCTCCTCCCATTTCATGGGAGACCCAGTGCCAGTCCTGCAATGCAGCAGAGTGGAGCATTTGGTCTCCACTTCGGGCAGCAAAGTATCTTCAGCCAACAGTGGTGAGTCAGCCTGATCAAAGTTTGGTTTCTCGAGAATCAAGAACCTCTTCAAGACAGTAGCTCAACTATGCTTGTCTGGCACAGCAAGGTACCAGAATGCTTATGAATGAGGTGCCGAAATTCAGATAAAGGCTGTACATGTGGTCCCACAGAGCATAGGTCCATGAAAGACTCCCAACTGCACAAAACATGCCTGTTGAAAGCAGTCAGAAGGGCTTGTTCTGCTTTACCCCCAGAAACACTGGATAGCCCTTGGCTTTTTGTCACAGTCAGTGTCTCAGCATTGGCCATACACACAAAGGAGGCAGATAATTATCACTATAATGAAGCAGAGAAGCTGCCGGCATCCTTGAGACTGATGTACCTGAGGAAGATCCTGAATGCACCCAACAGCTATACTTTGCTTGGGCCCATCAATACTTGAGACTCAGTTTTTTCTACCCAGGTGTAATGCCAAGCTGTCCAATTATATGACCAGATTCCTGAGCCTGATTGCCAAGAGCATGGGTGGGGTTGCAGAGATCTTTAAGCCACTGGTTTCTACCATCCTCTCCTTGCTCCTGGTATTGAGGTAGCTTGATATTCTTAATGTGATCCTCGGAGGCCCTGGCACTTAGACCTGATTATGTGGAAGCTGGCTTCATCCATGCCCAGTTTTCTACTGAACTCAAGCTCCCTGCCCTGCAATTATTTTACTTGGAAGGCAAGAGGAAGCAATTCGGGGCTCAAGTACTCTGAGCTCCAGAGGACACTAACCTCAAGGAGAACCTGAGTAGTTATAAGGGTGTGACATGTTTTCTACAACATGGACTAGTTGTGCATTATGTGCCAGAGACTCAACTATACATAGGTAAAAGGGACTATCTCAGCTACCAAGCATCCATCCTCATACTCCATATCTCTCTGAATCAATTTGAAGGCTCACTCCACACTAGATTCATAACATGCATCTTCTCCCGCCCCTGGCCTGGCAAAAAAACAAAAACCCTCCTTATGTATGTATCTACGCACCAAGACCATTTTAACATTCACCCCAATCCTATAAACCTCTCAGTATTGTAGAAGTCTTTCCTCAACAGACTATTTCTGCCTCAAGACTGACAGCTGGTGTACTCACATTACTGATTGGCACACTTCATCTCACTGTGATTCCATCCCCCAAACCCACTTGCATTCTCCTCAAAAGATTCATGCATTGCAAGCTTCTGTGATCAGCTTGTAAGTCTTGTGGCTATGCATTCCAGCCTAAACCAAACAACAGTCTAAAACCACTTCATCACGTGAGAATTAGCACACCTTCCCAATTGACCTTGGCACAATTTTCACATACGGTAGCCCTGTCCTGAATTGCAGGCGAGAGGGTTGCAAGAGCCACAATTAACTGTCCTTACCAACTCGGTAGGCAGAGTGGAGGTGATGCACGCCTTGATTGCCTGCAGGCTGGCTGTGTTGCTCATCCTCAGAAGGAAAGCCTCCTGTGACAAGGGAGCTGGGCTGAGAAGATAGACTCGTCAAGGAAGTCCCTTGAATCGCTGGGAATGTAGACCCTGCATGAACACTTCCTACTGGAGAAAACAAACAATAGTATAAAGGGGAGTGGGGGGAATATTGGCATCAAACAGCTATAGGACTTCAGCCAACTACGTCTTGCCCCAAACTGTATTTATATACAGTACATGTCCTAGAAATTCTAAAGAAGGCTCACTTGTTTGCCTTCTCTGTGAACAGGCTTTTTAATGTAGTTCCCAAGAGCCAAACCTTATTACAATATTGTGTCCCTTTACAGACAAGGGGAAGCCAGCAAGTAATGTATCAGGACAGTCTTTACACCAACAGCAGAATAATTGGGGAAGATGAAATAAGCGACACCAACTGTTTGGGACCCTGGGACACAATTGGATTTTTATGGGAGTACTCTGCAGGCACTGCTCCCTCTGTTTCTCCCCACCCCACCAGACAGAAAACGTGCACACTTGGACACACACATAATGTCACTTTTCCAACGAGTCCTTCTAAGCAAAAGTTAGATCCAGCAGAACTGAAATAGATCGCCTTTAATTTGCATGATTTTACACAGGGCCCCTGAACAATCACTATCGAATTAAAGCTTATACTGGTAGACTACACAGTCAAAAATCTCAGAGCCAGTGCTTGCTAGTAACACAAAAACATTGATCCTCATGGATCTAGCATAGGTTGACGACAAATCACACAGGTGACCTATGATTTCAAGGTGACTATGGAAAATTATGAGGGTCCATAAAGATCCATCCCTTAGATTCATATTTTTATGCCATGGCAGCTTTAGAAAGTACCACAAGTGATTTTTATAGTTCAGTTGAGGTGATTTGATGAAGGGAGGCCCCCCTTAAAAAATTCTGTGATTTCAATAGGATATTATTATTATTAATTATTTATTATTATTATTATTATTATTATTATTATTATTATTATTATTTTTATTTTTATTATTATTATTATTATTATTATTATTATTATTATTATTATTATTATTATTATTTACTGCATTCACCTTGGCTACACATTTGCCTTCCCTCCCTGGCACTCCATTCTCTTGCTCCTGACTCCTGTGATGCCTCACTTCTTCCCTGCAGGCTACTCACATTTTCTTCTGCCCAGTCTCTCAGACTAATGCCCTTTCCCTCCTACCCTCTTAGTCACTCTGCTTGCCAATCAACTGCTGATCCAAGCCTTGGAAAATATAGAACTGAAAAAGAACCACTCTTCCAACTTCTCCCTACAACTCCATGCACTTTGGGGGGGGGGGAGCTAGCAGTCAGGGGACAGTAAGTGGGTGAAGGGGACACTGAGTCTACACCAAGAGACTTTCTTACAGGGGTCATTGCACCCACAGGCCAACCACCCCTTTCCTTAGATGTGCAATTTCATGACACAATCTTTGGAAACCTAGTAATAGCTATACCATGTTTGGTAGACCAACATCCCACCTGCTACAGACCACTGCAGGTCAATTTTAAGAAAGTCCCGCTTAAAGCTGTTTACTCCCAAGCCTGAGAAGTTTTAAGGATTATTCATGGAGGGCTCTTTCTCATTTGTAGCCTAAGGATTCTACCTAATAGTCGCTGTTTTCATAATTTCCTAAGAGAATAAAGGGATTGTGCTGGCAGTATTTTTCATTTTAAACATGGTGTATATGGTTGTTTTTTAAAGCATAAATGAAACCCTTAACAATTTTTTTAAATGTTGTATGCACCCAGAGATTGCATTGTAGAGGCGCAGAGACCAGTTGTCCCGCCCCCCTCAAGCCTGCAAGGAAACCTAACAGAAAAAGTCACTTGTGTTCATCTTGCCATCTTCCTTCCTCATATGCTTCAGAACAATATGAAGGTTTATGACATCATGACTAGGGATTCTGTTGAGGCAGATTTCCTCTTGCACATAAGTCAGACACCTACATGTCTCAGGGTTCACAGTAGCACAAAAAAGCACCCCTATTCCTGTGTCACAGTAGGTGAGCCCCATAAGCCTCAGCAAAACTAGAACCACCATTCAGCTAGGATGCTAAAGGAGCCTATTTCCCGCAAGACACAGCAAGACTGAAATACTCACTTGCTACATTGGAAGACAGAGACAGCCCGGTCTCAGCATGGTATGGATGCACAGCAATCTGCGTCATGGATGGGACAGGCACTCCTGGGAAGGACACTGCTGTAGCTGCCAAAGACGGGGTAGTGACCGAGTATGGGTACTGTGCTCCAATGAACGCTGGGTGGACACCCTGCAAAGGAAGAGGACAGGGTAACCCTGCCTTGCGCCCAAAACACAAGGCAGGGTTTTTCAGGAGGGGCCTCCAAGCAACCCAACTATCTAGTACCGAGAACTCCATTTCCAACCCAACTCCTGAAAGCCTAGAACCCACACCATGCTCATTGGGCCCTTCTAAGCAAAATTCTTCCGAGGAGGAGGAACGTGACGGGAGACAAAATAGCCACTATGCCTATCTTAGGCATTCTCCCCACCCCCATAAACTGGCATGAGAAAATGTGAGATTTATCAGTAAATACTAACAATTTGTAAATTAGTACAAATTTAATAATTCTGACACAGACAGGGAGAGCAACAATGAGATATATACCCACAAAAAAATGGATCTTTATACAAAGATTCGGACTTTTGGTCCCTCTAACCCATTACTGCCCCTAACTAGAAGTGACTCTAAGGGCTTGGACAGGGGCTTTTCCCAGCTGCCATTTGCATGCACAGGGTCCCAGGTTTTGTCCTTGGCACATCCTAGTGCTGTGCTTTCACCCTTTTCGTTATGGTCCCACACTGAAACCAGCAAAACTAAATAATCCAGTAACCATCCTTCTATTCACCTAAGCCACAACACTAGGGAGGAGAGAAAAAGATGTTCCCCCCGAGATGCTTACCCTACAAAAGATAACTTACTTGGGGATAAGCTGAGCCAGGAACAGGAAAGACCGCCGGACGTGGCATGTGCTGGATAGGGTGCCCGATATACTGAGGATTGCAAGGGATGTGGGTCTGGAGTGTTGTATAAGGGTGCAGACCCTGGGTGTGCGCATGGGCCATTGCTGGCCCCGCCATGGTGTGCTGCTGGTAGATTGTCGACCCCACCGAAATTACGGGCACCACCGTTGCTGCTGCTGTCACTGCAGCCGCGACAGTCACTGTGGTGGGTTCTGACGTCACTCTGGTATCTGCCAGTCCACGCACTGCTTCGCAGGATGCCCGGGCTCCACTTGCACTGCAGCCTGTGGCTCCCTCTCTCTGAGCAAGAGTTCCGCCAACAGTTTGTTCGTACAACCAGTACCACTGGTGAGCAACTTCAAACAGGACTTCAGGGTAAACACCACCTCCTTTGGCTGCCTCCTCTACTGCCAAGCATGCCTTCTCCAGCATTAGATTATCCTGTAATATTAGGAAAGGTACTGATGATTTAAGGTGTTTTATACTGCCCTTTGCAATTTACAATTAAAGTGTAATTGCAATCAAGCTAATAGCTCTGAACCAAACAGTCAACCTTATAGAATTCTACCTAAAGAGCTTGGTAAAATAAAATAAAAAAGATTCTGCCTGGGACAAAAACGGCATTAAGACAGGCATCAACCAACCCTGTCTGGAAAGAGCATTCCACAAGTCTGATGCCACATCAAGAAGGGTCCCTCTTTGATAGCCACCCACATCTCTCCGGGTGGCATCTGCAGGAGCATGGGTGTCTGCAGGGAGGAGTCATATTTCTTGTATCTCCAGCTTTTATTTAAAAACAAAACCCTCCAGCACTTGCAGAACCCAAGTTATGAGGCAGAATGTGCATGCACTCTCCTGTGGGAAACTAACTTGCTCCTGCCTTTCAGTGGTTTTTAGCCAATGAGTGTCATAGCTGTCTGATATTTAAGATGGCAGACCTAACTAAGTAGACAAATAGAAGGGTAGAATGACATGTCCCATACATGTCTATATAGAAAGTCTTTCCTGCTGGCCTTCAGATATCCGGGATTGTACTGTAACTGTGAGTTGGTAATAGGTAAGCAGGAGCAAAAAATAACAGCAAAGATGGAGGTTCATGTTTTTCTCTAATCTTATTTCATAGAAACAAAAAAATTTAAAAAAACTGTGATTTCACCCCTGAGTTTGTAAACATTAAAAAAAAAATCCCTGCCGGTGTCTATGCAGATAAAATCTATCATTATTACACCCATGTGGCTAAGAGTGTGTTATTTATTTATTTATTTATTTATTTATTTATTTATTTATTTGATTTAATACAAAACATCACTAGATGGTTGACATACCAGCCCTGCAAGGTAACCCAATTATACCCATCTTGTTGGCATGTGAGTGTGTGAATGACAACTTTAAAGTGTAACCTAGTGTTTTATCCTAGAATGGGGATTGGGGAGGGGCAAAATGTGATGTGTGATTGTTGATTGCGGAAGCAGTGCAATTAATGGCTGAAGTGGGTGCTGAGAGCCAATTGAAAGGACTGAGGTTTTTAGGTGTGAGTGGCAGTGGCAGTGTATGTCATCTGGGTGCCAAGTCAATAAGTCAATGAACAGCATGAAAAGCAACAGAGGGGTAAGACCTGTTCTGCTGATTTCTAAGAGGCCAGGTCTCTCCAGGTCTCATCACCATTCAGTCAGCAGATCTACCAGAAATGGATAACTAGCTCCCTGGTGCTAGTTATTTGTATATGTATATCAATGTATTAGGAATATGCACTTTTCACCATCCCTGAGAAAAATCCCTGCAGATGCTTATGCACAGGAGGCCTGTTACAATAGCTAGGTGCATATGGCTGCATTATAAAGCAGAAAGACCTATACTGAAGTGTAAGGTCCATATTTCATTAACGGCCAAATTCTAATACAGAAAATACTGG